TAAAGGAAGTCATTTAGTTTCTTGACTTCTGCTTCCAAGGGAGTTGATTGTAATTCCAAATAAAATAAAATCCTTAACAACTTCAATCTCTCCTCCACTTGTAATGATTTTACTTATTGGTCTAGTTATGAGGATTTGTGTTTTTTATGATGAGGTGAAATTAATAGAGCATGCTGTAGCTTTTGATGTTAATCAATAAATACTTGTATTCTTATGCACTTTCAACAAACAAAGTTGTATCATGCTTTTCTCGGGTTGTGGAGATTTCCTCCAATCCGGATGCTTGATATGATCCAGCTTCTTGAATTATTTTTCCAGTATCCACAATGAATAAGTATGACAGAAGGGTAGAACCCAGACTCCCAACATTCCTGATTTTAAACCTTTGTTCTGTTTGAATGACCATCGGTCTCTATACAGGTTCTGCATGAGCACAATTAAATGTTCAAGAAGTCTCATTCTTAACAAGATTTTTTTTATCATTTGTTATAATATATACAATTGAATGTTTTTAAAATTATCAATCTGATACATTTATTTGGTATCTTCGGTTTCGTTTCTGCTGTCCTTACAAATGACCTTCCATGTTTCTTATCCTTTTGTGAAGGCAGCTAGAATTTAGGAAAGCCACTCTCAATGTCAACTTTTAATTGTCTTTTGAACTGTCTCAGGCAAATCATCACTTTACTGCATGATGGATGCTTTTGAACAATAAATTCAATAATCAATTGAATCACTTTTCCCTGAAATGGGCACAACTATGGATCTTTTCCAGTCAGTTGGCCAATTCTTGGCACAGTCAGATATGCGTCCTAGCATTGTATCCATGTGTTGCAACATCTTAAGTGCTGTTCCATCAATTCATGGAGCCTAGAGTTTTGTCAGTTCCTTCAGTACTATTGATTGGCTCCGGATCCTATACTACCTCCTGATGGACTTTGTCATGGCTCAAGTGTTTTTGGTATTGTGATTTTCTGTATTCCCTCAATCTTCTGTTGACACTTTTTCTATCATTTGACGGTTTGTGATAAAATCCATCAAAGTTGCAACACGAGGCTTGCTTTCTTCCACTGTGTTAGTCCTCTTTGATTTTCTCAGTCCAGGGCTTTGCACATTCCATTGTAATACACTTCTTTGTCTTTTCAAACAGTCCTTCGAAATCTGCCTAACAAGTTCATCCATTGTTTCTTCCTATTGCTTTAGCAGCTCTACAAGAAAGAGCAAGTTTCAGAGTGTCTTTCGACATCCATTTTGATCTTTTTTATTCTTCTTTCCTTTCTTTTTAATAATAAGTTTCTTTCCTGGTGTATCATGTTCTTTAAACTACCCACAACTTGAGTCTTTGGTTTACAATGCTTCAAATCTATTCCTGAAATGGCCTTGAACTTCAGGTGAGCTCCACCCAATGTCACATTTTGGCTTTCTTGCACTTGTTTTTGTTTTCTTCAACTGAAATTTCATCATTTCTTCAGTCTTTCAAATTACATGTGAGCTATGCATGGTCTGTTCTATAGTCTTGTTCTGTTTGACTGATGATACTGAGCTTCTTTGAGGCCTCTTTTCACACATGTAGTTGAGTTGGTTCCTCTGTACTCTCTCAGGGGAGGTCCCTATTTACAGTCACTCTTTATGTTGATGGAAAACAGGGTTTGTAATTGCATCGTTTTTCTTGCAACATTTTATCATGTGAGCTCTAGCATCATTTCAGTCACCAAAGCCCTAACTTCCAACTGTCCATCCTTCTTTGTTTCCAATGTTGGCAATGTTTATTTAATGCATCTGGATTGCATATTTGGTCAATCTCAGATGGAAGATTTTGGTAAATATTTTCAATGTCCTCATGTTTGGTATTCGTGGTTGGTGCATAAATTTGAATATTAGTCCCATTAACTGCTTTTCCTGTAGCGGTTGTTAAGTGTCATTGAATCACCTCCGGCCCATAACAACCCGCTGCACAGCAGAAGGAAACACTGCATGGTGCTGCACACTTGTCACAAGTCTTCCTCTGTCTTAGCTCAGTGATGCAGCCTCTGTGTCTATCTTGGCTTTCACAGCCCCACCACTTAACCAAACATGGCATCCTTCTGCCGGTATGGTCTCTCTTGACCATATATCCAAAGTAGGCAAATCTTACCATCCTTGCCTCTAAGGAACATTACTCTGGCATTATTTCTTTCAATGGAAATCAGTTGACTTTTTTGCAGTCCATAGTACTTTTAATATTCTTCTCCAGTACCACAATTCAAATACGTCTATTCTTCCACAGCCATCCTGATTCAATGTCCAAAATTCACATGCATATGCTGCAATGGAGAATATCATGGCTTGAATCAGGCATACCTTAGCCCCCACATTAACATCTTTGCTTTTCAATATGCTGAAGAAGTATTGTTCATCACACTTACCTAATGTAATGTGCCTTTTGCTCTCCTGCCTGCTGCTTCCATGAGCATTGTTTGTGGATCCAAGTAAGACCAAACCCTTGACAAGTTCAAGCTTTTCTACGCTTTTCATGATGTTACCTATTAGTCTCATTTTGAGAATTTTGGTCTGCCTTACATTGAATTGTAATCCATACTGAAGGTTACAGTCTTTGATCTTCATGAGCAAGCGCTTCAATTCCTCCTCACTTCTAGCAAGCAAGGTTGTGTCATCTGCACGCTGGAGGTTGTTTATAAGCCTTCCTCCAATTCTGATGCCACGATCTTCTTCATGCAATCCAGCTTCTCCGATGATTTGCTCACAGATAGATTGAACAAGTGTGGTGAGAGGATACAACCCCAATGCACACCTCTTCTGATTTTAACCATGCAGTATGTCCTTGTTCTGTTCTCCCAATTGCCCCTGGATACATGTACAAATGCCTCATTAAGACAATGAAGTGGTCTGGAATTCCCATTCTTCTAAATGTGATCCACAGCTTATTATGGTCCACACCTTTGCATTGTCAATGAAACACAAATAAACAACGAATGCCTTTTCATAAGCAATGAATCACAAGTAAACGTCTTTCTGTTATCCTCTGCTTTGAGCGAAGATTCATCTGACATCAGCAAGGATGGCCCATGGTTCCCATCCTCTTCCGAATCCAGCCTGAATTTCTGGAATTTCCCTGTGAAGGTACTGCCGCTGCACTGAACACATATCTACTATGATTTTATACCAAATAATAATCAGCGATACACTAAAGAAGACATTCCCTGGCAGCTCAGTAGAGTTTAGGACAGAGTGGATACTAAGCTGTGCTGCCTTTTCTTTTTATATGCGTGTATCCCTCAAATTGTCCTGAATCCTTGCCTTTTTGGAGCTATGTGAAATAGAGAGAACTCTAAAGAAGTGCTTCTATATTAGAACATGGAAGAACAGTAACAGTCACAGAACCCTCCTAAATGAGAGGCAGCATGGCAATTAGCAAACGAATTTAAGTTTTTCTACGTTTCCACGCGCAACCATGTTTACTCTCCATTGAACCCACTAAAGGGGATCTTTCTCGCTACTGTTGGTTGGAGCTTTCTCAGGATGCTGGTGCACTGGCAGCTCTTTGCAAATGCCTATCATCCTTCATCAGACTTGTTTCCGAGGCACCTTGCCCTAAAAGGACAGTCTTGGAAAATAAACCACAGCCGTAGTGTTTGCTAGAGACAAAGATGGCAAGATATTGTACAATCTCATGTACTTTGTACGTCTGTACAATCTCATACATTGTCAGGAGAGATCATCCCCTGGAGAAGGACACCGTGCTTGGTAAAGTGGAGGAGCAACTGGAAAGAGGAAGACCCTGAGGAG